CTCCCGCCCCCCCCGGCGGTCAAAACCCCCGCGGCCGTCCGCGAGCGCGGAGAGGAACAGGAGGCGGGGCCGGGGCGGGGCCACCGGGAGCCACACCCCTGCTGGAACACGTGGTCCCGCTGTGACTCAGCAGAGGCGTGCAGGGTGGAGCGGTTCCTGGCTCCGCCACGCGTGCAGACCCGCCCCCAGCGCGAGGGTGATCGTGCCCTCGCTGACATCTTCCCGCGGTCGTCCAGCAAACATTTGTCGAGCGCGGCCGTATGTACGGGTCAGAGATTGCGTGGCGCTGGAACTCGGCCCTCCACATCCACGCCGCCCTAGATTATTTACAAAACACATTCAGGTTCCTTACCTCTCTAGAAAAGCCCTACAAACGTGAGTTCAAGTGGGAACTCTTGCCACATAGTGCAATCTTCGCGACGTTAAGTAAATAAATCGCTTTTCCGAGCCTTGGTCTGGTGGCCTGTAGAAGGGTGTAATGTATGACAGCGACCTTAGAGCTCTTTCTGCCAACCAGTGTGCGTCGGGGCTTCCCGTATGTAGGCAGGGCCCTTGTGCTGGAGAGAACTGTGACGAGCGGGCTTGGTGCCTCTCACGTATGGAAGCCTGTGCCCGTGTGATAAAGAGGGTGGTGATTGGAAGAAGGGGAACCAGGCCCCTGGGAGGCTGCTCACGGGGCACGCTCGCTCTCTCTCTCATGCATATGCAAGCACCTTCTGGCATAAATAATAATTAGTAGTGATAATAAGAGTACAATAAGTTATTTATTGAGTATTTATAATATGCCAAGCACTGCTGTTCTAAGTGCCTTTCTTTCATGTATTAACTCAGCAATCTTAAGAAACCAGAGTATTATTACCCCCACGTGACAGCTGAGAAAACAGTCTCAAGTCTCAATAATTCACTTGCCCAACTAAAAAAATGTAAAGCCAGGCCGGTCCCATAGCCTGGTGGTTAAGGCAGCTGGATCCCATGTGGCTGATGATGCAATTCAAGTCCCACAGTTTGAAAAATGCACAAGGTCCATGTGCATGTTAGCCCAAAACCCTGAAAGGAAAGCCAGGAGAAGGGATTGCAACAGGACCATTCCCCGAGGAGGGTGTTTTCTCCTGTCCCTCCCTCTCTGGTGAACACAAGGCCTGCTAGCAAAAAAAAAAAAAAAAAAAAAAGCAAAGACAAAATTTTTTTTCTAAGAATTATTTATTTATTTCCATTTGTTATTATTATTTTTCAATTTAACCAGACAGAGACAGCGAGAGGGAGGGAAAGAAAGCAAATCGCCAGGTCCAGGACCCAAACCACAGTCAGCCATGTGGGAATCCAGCACCTCTAACCACCACGCTACCTGCGAGCCCACGAAGCCAAAGTTTAACCCCCTAAAACTCATACTTAACATCTAATATATGTCCCTAATGCTTTGTACTGAAAAGGACACAATCTCTTCTATGTATGATAGTATTCGACATATTTACCCTGAATTTGATCAAGAGAAAATAACTTGAAATTAAGGGACATGTTTCAAACAAATGTCTTGAAGCCTTTGAAAAGGTCAATATTGTGAAATGCACACACACATGGGGGGGGCGGGGGGAGGCAACTGCCTAGATGAAAGGAGACCAGCGAGGTGCAACAGCTACCTGCAGTGTGGGCTCTCTGATTGGATCCTGGTTCTCTCCCTCCCCGCCTCCCAGTAAAACCATAAAGCACTTTGCTGGGACAGCCGGGGAAGTTTGGATACGGCTAGTACAGTATCAATGCTAAACCTCCTGATTTTTTTTTCTGAGAGATTTGCTATAGGAAGCATACGCTCGTAAACAGAAAGCAAGAAATCACCCCCAGGGGGGATGGTCACACCGCAATCCCTTCTCCTCCGTTCTCCTCTGGAGATCTTGGGCACGCACGCACACGCGCCCAGAGTGAGTTTTAAGCCACCAGGTCCAGGATTTGAACCGCGGTCAACTACATGGGAGTCCAGCAACATACCCATTAGGCCATCTGCTGGTTCC